GCAGAAAGGGTACGCATTCCACGCTTTCTCGTGAATGTCCAGGGCTCCCTCAGGGGCCAGCATTCTTACGAAGGGAGGGACTTTGCTGCAGGACAAAGGATAGAAGAGGTCAGCCTTCCAGAGGCTCTCCCACGCAGAGGACGCAGACACATCCCAGCAGAACGCAGAGCTGACGGGTTCGGACTGCTGCTCTTTCTGCGGCCAGCAATTGTAGCTAAGGGTCTCATGGCGCAAGGCTAATCAAGGCCGTTTTGCATCAAGCTGTGGAGAAACAGAAGGGGGTTTCCTCCCAGGCCGGCCCAAAAGGCCAAGGCAGAATACATACAGGTGGGCCAAGTCAACACCAGCTCCTCCACGAGGACGACAAGCCCAGGGACGCCACCCTGCCTTCTCTCTGCCCGCCCCAACGTTCCAGTCATGGGGGTGAAAGGCTTTTGACGTTGGCAGGGCATGCCCGCCATCAAACCCCCAGCCCGGCTCATCCCCAATTGCAGACTGCTTGTGTAAACAGGCCAGGGTACCTGGGGGCAGCAGGAGGCCGCCACAGGGGCAGGGACCCAAACCAGTGGGTGGGAGCCACCAGCAGCAGTGGTGGGCAGGACTAGTGGTCACCATTTCAGGGGTCTGCTCACTGCAGAGGAGGGAAGGGGCAGGGGATCCCCTAGAACAAAGACCCCGTAGCTCAGGGCTGAACAGTGGAGTCCTGGGTGCCCTCTGAGCTTAGCGGTTTTCTTGCAGACATTTCATTAACCAGCTAGGTACCATCATCAGGGCAAGGGCGGGTGGGATTTGCTGCCTGTTTTGGTAGTGGCGGCGGTGGGTGGTTTCTTCCTTGGTGGTTCCTTGATTATTATTTTTTGCCTGATGGTTTCCCTGCTTATCTGAGTGCTGGCTGCTGGAGGGGATGTGTTCTAGTCGTTTTGGTTCCTTCCTGGGTTTCTTATTGTCTCTTTTGAATGATAGGTAAATGCGGTTTATCTCTATGTGATTACTGATGGCTGATCTGTCCAGGAATTCCCCAGCATTTCTGGATTTGGCCTGAGTGTCACCTTGCAGGACCCAGGATGCGTGCCTTCTCAGTGTTGGCTCCTGGCCTCCAGTACGACATCCCCCTGGAGTGCTCCCACTTTACTGATTTTACTCAAATTAATTGTAATCCACCGAGAGCTGCTGTGGAGTTGGGCAGCTTTGCAATTGAAAAATTAATTTGAATCCGATTAGGAACTAGCACGCGGCCACCGCCTGGCACTGTGGTGGCTTCCCCAGGCAATGCCTCCCTGCACCGCAGCAGACTCTTCCTCGGGGCCCTTCCGCAGCACCTACCTCTGCAAGTGGTATATCTTGTGAGTATACTGTCCCCGCTCTCCATCTCGCTCATACGGCTCGTTCACCAGCACTTCTACCCCTTCGCCCCCACCAGTTTCGTTCTTGCTGGCTTCAGCCACAGAGTACAGCTGCCCCACCTGGTACTGGAGGAGGGAAAATGCAACACTGTTACGTGTCTGCCGACAGGAAGGCTGGAAAACACAGAGCAAGCAAACGAGCAGGCTTTGGGGACCTGGAGCTCACCATCCAAGGAAGGCCCGGGTGTGCTTCCTGGATGCTCTGGAGCTCTAAGCACGTGTGGGGCAGGATACTGCAGTTCTGGACCAGAGAATGGCTGCCACGCTGCTGGAGGCACCGGGGAGCTCCGCCTGAGTTCAATTTAGGGCCCCGCTCTGCAGAGCCTGGGCATCCCCACTCCTCCAGTCCTGCCCGAGAACCCCAAGGCCAGCTGGAGGGCATCAGGGCAGAGATTCAGATGGGAACTTCCTGACTGCTGCCAGCAGATCTCCTCTACCCTCTCCCTCCACAAGTTACCGTTCAGGCCTGAAGAGGATCTGCTGATGGCCTGCCCTCAACACCTTTTAATCGCTCTTTTACTTCGACCCCACCAGAACAAGAAGGAGCCAAGATACCCTGCTGTAACGTTTGAGCAATCCCAGGGTGAGCCCCAGAGAAGGTGTCCCCGAGCACCATTTGCAGGAAGAGGAGGGCTCTCCGCTCTAAGAGACAGGGGGATCCTCAGGGCTGCCTCTGCTCTTCTAGCACACGACCCCAGCAGATCAGCTACCTGGCCCTGACCTTCCAGCACGGATGCACCAGAGGGAGAGACAAGCCCTTCTGGCAAAAGCCCCCTCCTCCCCCAGGATGCTCCATGCCACAGGAGGAAGTGGGGGAAGGAGTCCTGGCAGGAACACAAAGTGGGCACAAATGGCTGCCTGTTAGAAAAAGCAGCTGAGCAGACACCCACATATCCTGTGCCCAAATGCGGCCTAATTCCTCTTTCAATAATGAGCCCAACCCTCTTGCCTACAGCCCCAGTAGCCCCAGTGTGTCCTTCTCATGGCAAGCCCAAGAGTCACCTACAGGTGCTTGGCCACCAGGCAAGTATGTCTCCTCTCAGGAAGGCTAAAGGGGAAAGGCTCAAACAGGGAGGCCAGACTACGAGACCCCCTCCGCCTGCAAGGCATTTCAGCTTCCCAGCATATACAGTCAGGTCCAGAAATATTGGGACATCGACACAATTCTAACATCTTTGGCTCTATACACCACCACAATAGATTTGGAATGAAACAAACACAATGTGCGTTAACTGCAGACTGTCAGCTTTAATTTGAGGGTATGTACATCCAACTCAGGTGAACGGTGTAGGAATTACAACAGTTTGCATATGTGCCTCCCACTTGTTAAGGGACCAAAAGTAATGGGACAGAATAATAATCATACATCAAACTTTCCCTTTTTAATACTTAAAAGTAATGGGACAGAATAATAATCATACATCAAACTTTCCCTTTTTAATACTTAAAAGTAATGGGACAGAATAATAATCATACATCAAACTTTCCCTTTTTAATACTTAAAAGTAATGGGACAGAATAATAATCATACATCAAACTTTCCCTTTTTAATACTTAAAAGTAATGGGACAGAATAATAATCATACATCAAACTTTCCCTTTTTAATACTTAAAAGTAATGGGACAGAATAATAATCATACATCAAACTTTCCCTTTTTAATACTTAAAAGTAATGGGACAGAATAATAATCATACATCAAACTTTCCCTTTTTAATACTTAAAAGTAATGGGACAGAATAATAATCATACATCAAACTTTCCCTTTTTAATACTTAAAAGTAATGGGACAGAATAATAATCATACATCAAACTTTCCCTTTTTAATACTTAAAAGTAATGGGACAGAATAATAATCATACATCAAACTTTCCCTTTTTAATACTTAAAAGTAATGGGACAGAATAATAATCATACATCAAACTTTCCCTTTTTAATACTTAAAAGTAATGGGACAGAATAATAATCATACATCAAACTTTCCCTTTTTAATACTTGGTTGCAAATCCGTTGCTGCAGTTAAGGCACATTGTGTTTGTTTCATTCCAAATCCATTGTGGTGGTGTATAGAGCCAAAGATGTCAGAATTGTGTCGATGTCCCAATATTTCTGGACCTGACTGTATGTAACTGAACTGTCCGCAAGTTTTCCCATGGTTTGGAAGCAGGCCAAGGTTAGCACCCGTGACCACCCCAAGGGCCATTCTGTGTCCCAGCTAGTCCCTTTGAGAAGCCGGGGAACCTTCTCCTTGAAGCAGTGCAGCTTCAGAAGTTGCTTCCGTGCCCAGGGTTCCTTCCTGGAACCGGCTGGCAAACCCGGCCCCGCCCATTCCTTCTCTGCAAGCCAGACTGGGACACGCAGGGTGGCTCCTTCTTGTTCCCTGCCCGGCAAGTCAAGACCCGAGAAGACTCCAGATCCCTTTGGGTCTGGAAGGCCAGAACGGGCATCAGCCTTCTCCTCCAAGGAGCCATCTGAATGAGGGCGAGCCCAATCCAATTAGCAGCCAAATGCTTTCAGCTGGCACGTAGCCCCTTTGCTCCTGCACGCAAGGCCTCGTGTGGTCCCTTGATTTTCTTAGCCCAGGCTCCACGTGGGGGAGCTGAGGCTGAACAAGTGTCAGCATCACAGACTGAGATCAATTTTACTAGCCAGGCCTTTAAAGCACAGTTGGGACTGTCTGCTTCGCCTGCATTATTGTTTAACTGGTTATACAACTGCTCTGTCACGAAGGATGCTACTTTCTCCTGACTGCCTTTAGCACTGCTGTTGGTGCACCGCCCATTTGTACACCGTGAAGTCATCTTTGAGATAACAATGGGCCGCTGCATTGTTGCAGGCCCAGCTCCTAAAAGAGCTGCGATCGCATCTGCCCTCCTCCCAACCTGCATGCCAAGAGAGCTCCACAACACCAAGCCGATGCTGACACTGGGTTTCACAAGGAGTCCCGAACACACCACGGCTCCAGATACGAATAAGCAACGGGAGGGGGCGACAGTGCATAGCCCAGGGCCTTCCAGAACTCCTGGACTTCCTCCAGTGCTAGCCAGCATGGTCAAGGGCTAGGGATTATGGACACTGTAGTCAACATGTGTGCAAGGCCCGTGGTTGCCTGAGAGCATTAGCACTTCAGGGCACAATCTGGAGGACCAGTAGACTGCCTATGCCAAAAACTAAATTACTTGCCACGTGTAACCCCATTCAAAACTGCCCTAACCCTAACTCTAACCCTGGCTGCTTTTCTTGCCCAGTGGTGAAAGATAGAGATATCTGTCTTTTTTTTCAAACGGAGGGAGAATACACAGAACAGAGAATGCCTGAGCACACAGATGGGCTAAGAAAGAAGTTGTATTTCAGAAAATGAGAGGGTTTCTGCAGCATTCTCCTTAGTCTTAGGAGAACACTGCAGGCACAGAGGAACGGCAAAGGATGGGCCAGACAAGAGGAGAAGCGTAACCCTGCTGGATCAGGCTGAGGCCTGCGATACTCCAGCGCTTGTTTCTCGCCTACACCGCTCGTGATGGTTCCCTTGGCACGTGGAGGCCCGCTGCTCCTACCCGCAGCACACAGTGAGATATCTGACAAAGACGTGGTGATGGCTGGGAGCGCAACGGCCAACCCAAGGGTTCCAGCACGGGGTTGTAGGAGAGGGGACTCGGGAGGTGCAGGTGGAAAGGCAGTCTGAGGGAGGCTCAAGGTCCAAGCCAGAGAATGCCTCCCCATCAGGAACAATTTCAGGGCCAGGGCAGGCTAGTATTGATGAGATACAGATTCTTTGCAGAAGTGAACCAGATTAAAAACCATTTCTTTATAAAGGTTAGTTTATCCCTCTGTTTCTGTGTTAACCATCTGTCCAAACCATGCGCTACCTAGTATCTTCCCCACGTTCCACCCAGCTTGGTTACCTTACAGACTTGAAGAACTTCTAAATCAGAAAAAGGGTTTTGGGAGGCAGAATAAAATAATAGTAAGAAAAAGACTTCCACAAGGAGGGTGTGTGACACCTGTCCTCCAGAAATTTTCTAAACCTTTTAAAAGCCATTCTAGTGAGTGGCTGTCCCCACATCTTGGGGTCAATTCCTCAAGTTAATTGGTCTTTGACAATTAGTAATGCTTTCAGGAAGCCAATGTTCATACAGTAGGTACATTTTACGCAAGCTTTCTTGCAAATTTGTTCCCAACTACTGAAACAAAGAGCTCAAGAGAGAGAACACTCAACCAACTCAAGAGTTTGTACAATTCTTGCAAACTGACAGTATCGTCCCCCCCCCCCCAATTAAACCCAGGCAGACAGCTGTCACACAGGAAAGCTCATCACGCTTCTGCAAACTATGGAAAATGGAAGATGAGCCCAGCAAGGCTCACACAAATGGAGCTTGCCCTTTCTACAAGAGTACCGGAACTTCACCCAGAATTGCTAGGAATTGCTCGAAGAACCCATAACGACTTTTCCCCTCCGTTCCTAATAATTCCCCTACTACATCTACGGCAAAGCGTTCTTTACCTACAAAGGCACAACCTGCGATGGTTCAGTTAACCTGCAACCGGCCGCGGCAAGCTGATAAGTTTTGCCAGCTTTCTTGGGGTGGGGGAGGGAATATTAGCCTCCGTTTTTCCCGAGCTTTGGCACCAGCCACAAGTTCAACCGAGACGGGAAAGCAGAAGAGGCGGCGGCAGAGGGGTAA